GTTGCTGAGAAGGAGGAAACAGAACCTCAGCTCCCACAGGATGAAAGGAAGCACCAGTCAGGGACTCGAGTAGAGGCTAGGTCCCCTCTATCCTTTCAGAGTCCGTCCTCACAGCTCCATCCCCTTAAGCCCACCTGGTCTGGACAGTGGGCAGCCCTGACCTGAGCAGATGACCCCGGCGTCCTCTTTGCGTCTGCAGTCATGGCGCCCCCAGCCCCGGGACGGGCACTTCCACACGTGGGACTCGTTTCCTGTGCACTGCATCCCGTCTAGCCATACTGGCCCTGATTCTGCCCCAAAGTGGGCAGAGACCGTAGCGTTGAGGGCCTCTCCACAGCCCAGCTGTCTGCACACCACGTGGGCATCACGCAGGTCCCAGCCGCCATCACACACGGTGCCCCAGGAGCCCTGGTGCAGGATCTCCACTCTGCCGGCGCAGCGATGGCCTCCGCCCACCAGGCGGAGCTGTGGGCTGTCTGAGGAGAGAGTCAGGTCAAAGGCGGGGAGGCAGGGAGGCAGGGAGGCGCGGAGGGGAGGTAGAGGGGGTGTAACCCGGGAGGAGAATATTTTTCTGTTCCTGGGGTCCTCTCACCTGAGCAGTTGGCTGCACCTTCCTCTGAGGCTGCAGACACTGCTGGTGTAGATGGGGAGTGGGTGCACAGGGGTAGCCCCTGGGTCTGGTTTCCTGCAGAGCAGTGAGATCAGTTAGTGGATTAGTGGGGTGAAGATCAGAAAATAAAATTAAATTGCTTGCTAACCCAGGGAAAGAGACTGAGATGAACTGAGCAGCCATGGCATCATAATTTTAGAGTTCCCCTTCTGTATGGAGAGTTCTGTCTCTGGCAATGCTGAAGTTTCTACTTTAAGACAAACACTGTTGTGAGCTTGGGAAAGTGGGGATAATCCAGTGGTGTTGGTAGTGTTGCAGAGCTCCTAATGCAGGGAGAAAATATGGAGCCAGATGCTCTGAGAGAGGCAAAGAACAGGGCTGAGCTGATTTCCCCTTGAAATGTTTGTCAACTCAGAGGTCACAGATGTGATGCTGAAAACCTCAGTAGAGATTTGGAAGTGGGAATAATAACAGGGTGGTCCCTAGGCAAAGGGGAAGGTCCAGGTTCCCTGCCCCACCCAGAAGGAGGGTGGAGCTGAGCTGAGAAAGAGAAGGAATGTGGAGAGGAAGGAAGCAGGATGGAGAGCCAGTAGGAGATGTGAGGAAACCACATGGAGCAGAGAGCATGTGATGAAGACACATGTTTCTGGGCCCTGGATTGGTTGAAAGCGATGTGGGGGAGAGACCCATATGGAGGTTGACTATTGCAGTGTTTATATTGATTTTGATTTTGCTCTTTTCCTCCCAGACTTGTCTGGCCATTCCTGACCCTTTTCTATGGGTCAGGGCCAGAAGGCGCTTGAGGCTTGAGGCAGCTTTCAGGCCTTGCTTTGGGCCAATCCCTTTTGGGTGGACTTTTGCCCACAAGAGGATGGTTAACTTCACGTGTTTGATTTAAAAATTATATTCTTTGTCTTTCTTATTTGACACAAGCTATGCAACTTCTATTGACTGACAAATTCTGGATAGAAAAGGAAAAGCTCTGAAAAATCAGAATTTTCATTGCTAACTTATGTTACAACTTCCCTTTTTTGTCTTATCATAATATCAAAATATTCTGAGCAACCATTAGTTTATAACTGGATTGCCTCAGCCTCATAAGGCAGCTGCCTGACCAAGGCAAGCGGCCCCAGGGCAGGAAATTCCTGTCTCTGGAGACAAAAGGCAAGCCCCAGGAGAGATAAGACCCCAGGGCATAAAAACTCCTGGGAAGCTTCCTTGGTTTTTTTAAATAAAAAACAAATCTCAGATAAGATTCCCAGAGCATGGGACTCATGGACAACTTTTTGACCTTGTTTACACAGGTGTTGCTTAATACAAGACTGTACAACTTTTTCTTAATTTACTCCTTTTTAAAATAATCACGAACTACTCTGCTAGCCTTAAATTAGCCATTAGCTTTTTTTAGACAATCACTGATAACTCTGCTAACACAATTTATTACATTCCTAAGACCCCTAATAGCCCTTTGCTAACAAGCTCATCCTTTCCCAGATCCCTCTCACTTGAGTTATAGTTAAACATCTGTATACATGACAATTATCACAAAAATGTATAATTTAGTATACCATAAAACATTAAGAAAAAAATCCTTTGTTCCCCTTGTCCTTGAGAACGTTTATGACAATTTATGGTATCTCTCATTAACTTACCCTGTGCATTATTGTAATTAACTACTTGCTACACAGTATAAAGACCTGCTGAGAGAATGAGCAGGAAGACTTGCACCCACCTCTGACCCCCGTGTCTTCCTCGCGCCC